GACGTGCCAGCCTAGTACATTCTGCCAGGGATGCAGGGAATGGGGGAGGCAGCAGGTGAATACTTACTTTTCAGCAACTAGCCTTAAAATCAAAATCTGAGTGGCCTCGCTGAATGGTCATTACAAATGCTCAATTGTGACAGTCAGCCGCAACCTCCAAACGCAGTATTTAGTACAAGAGACAGAATACCAAACTATATTTACTGTTTACAGTAGTAAAGGACAACAAAGAATGTACAAATTGTGAACAAACAGTAGAGCCAGCAGACACCACATCCACACCCCAATAGCAAAACACAAAGGAAAGGCAAGATTCCAGGCAAGCAAGAGATAGATGATGGTCGAGGTCACACTGTCCAGGTGCCAGAGCGAGGCAGAGCAGGGCCGTGGGGCAGCAGGGGTTCCATACAGGGCAGTAGGCAAACTGAAAGTAACCAGTACAGGTTCTAAAATGTTTCACAGAAATGAAATCAGCTAATGTCAGGAAAGCGGCAGAGCACAGTCCATGAGAATAACATGAGTCGTCTGCACGGGGCCCATTTGTAACTACACTTGGAAGTAGCTCTTTTACACAAAAGCATCACTGCAAAATCAGCACTACTTAATCGTACTTTCTTATATAGAGACTGTAATTATTCATCAAAAGCAAGTACTGGAAGAAATCTGAGGCCACAGAACTACCACCAAGTGACAAACGTGGGAATGACCTTCCTCTGTAGTAAAAGGGGACACCTGAAACTAATACAAAATAATATTGAATGTAAACTGTAACTGAAAATTTTTTTTAAAAAAAGGAAGGGGAAAAGCCAATTTCTGCTGCACCCCAGGTTGCCCGCACACCATCGAGGGCCCTGGGCCCGCCCCTGCCCAAGCGGTCACCAAAGGAACAGGGTGCCCAGGGCCACACTACGGAGGGACTCAGTTATTTTCACCTTTTAAAAAGCATTCCAGTCTTCTCCCTTCACCTTTCCCATATTCTCACAAAACCTAAACTTGCAATATTTAGCATTTAAAACGTACAAGAAACATTAAGTGGCAGTTTGTCTCCCATCCCCACAGTGCCCCGAGGCTTGCCCCAGAAGCCCCCACTGTGGGGACAGGAGCGCTCACAATGGAATGAGCAGGGGCCTTATCCCATTCCTGGGGTAAGATCCCCGCCTAGGCTAAAAGGGAGGGAGGCTCACGCCACAGACTTCGGGAAGTGTCACAGGAGGGGGAGAGACAAAAATGAAAGCAAAGACAAACCCCGACACCTCGCAACTGCTTTCCTAAGGAGCGCGATGGCGGCTGGCCGGGTGCGCCCTGCAGACAGTTCTGAGTGGCACCCGCAGTGTGCCGGAGAGGAAGGGGATCGGGTGGGTGTCCTCAGTTCCCGCAGGCTCCTTGTGATTGGCGTGGTCACATGGTCACTATTCCACAGCAGATGCGAGGACGTCCCTCGGCGCTACAGGCCGCACCCCGAGTGGCGGCGGGCGGCCCGCGAGCCCCCAGTCTGCTGCTGGAACACGTCGATGGTGTCCTCGTCCTCCATCTCCAGCTGACCGGGCCGCGTGGGGGGTGGGGAGGGACGACACACGACACAGCCGTTAGTGTGCTCACTATCTGGCATCACTATCCCAGACAGACGCGTCAACCCCACCTCCCGTGCCCTGAGGCGCCCCCTCCCGGGACCTGGGCTACGCACGGAGAAGAGGCCGCCCTCGGGGTCCAGCGAGTGACCATCGCCACCTCCCCGAGCAGAACTCACAGAAAATCCACAACTGCCTTTAACTGACGTGAGACACTCGGTCCCCTTAAAAGCTGCCCTCCAGAGAGGCTCAGGTGGCCGAGCCCATGCTGGGCACCAAAAGGCTGCCGCAAACTCGCGGGAGGGCTCACGCCCAGGCTGCGGGTCAGCCCCCAGTCTGTGTGTAAGGCAACCAAGTGAGGCTTCTCTCATTTCTCTCCCACATCGATGTTTCTCTCCCTCTTTCTCTAAGCATGCCCTTGAGTGAGGATTAAAATTTAAAAATTTTTTAAATGAACAAGTATCTAAAATTGTTACTGAAAATCACACAAAATCAGATTCCAATTAGGAACATTCAGTGAGTGGCACCAAGTCCTGGGGACTAGCAGGGGCCACGCACTTCATAACAAGTGCAGTGGATGGTGCCTGTGGCTCCCAAAGCAAAGCAAGTGAGGAAGGAGCCCATCGGTAAGGGACCTGCGGCTGGCTGCACCCCACCCCTTCAAGACCAGGCAAGAGATGGGCAAACGCTCCCCACCTGCTCCTTTCTGACACCGAGGGCATGGACATCTGCCCTGATCTTTGTCCGTTCTCAAACAAAATGAAGCTCTGCCAAATCACACAGACTAAACAGGGCTGGGGGCAGTAATGCTTCCCAGAAACATCCTCAGAGAAGTACGTCCAGGTTAGCAGCCCCATCCTGCTGCAGACACTACCTGGGCGGGAGTGACTCTACCTGGACAAAGCGACAGGCCTGAGGAGAGCTTTCCTGCCCCCCACCCCCATCCCAGGGAAAGCCCCCCAGAAATCCTCACAGAGCCAACCACCATCTAGCAGCAGAAGAGTTCCTCAACTGGGCAGAAACATGCAGCCCTTTGACATGAGCCAACCCACTGATCCTGCCTTTGAAGGACCAGTCAGTGACTTTGGGTCACAAGGCCATCCAGCTGATGAATGACAAGAACCACAGACTGAACTCAGCCTCCACCCCCGTCCAAAGTTTTGTCACTGGGGGGCCATGCATCGCAACAGGCTGGGCTGATGCTGAGATTGTTGCAAGGGGCACGCGCTTAGCAAAAACTAACTCCTGACTGATGAAGGGGTGCACACTCCTTTCCATCCACACCCCTTCTGTGCAAATGCTTAAGGGCACGAGAAGCAAGCCAGGAAGTTAGCTACAAATTGACTGACACTGCAAATGCAATGTCCAGACCACCAGTGAGTGCTCTGCCCCCCTCGCCTGGACCCCTGTGCTGAGCCCACAGCCTGCCTGCTGTGCCTCCCAGCCTGGAACAGGATGTCCGACAAAGGGCATCACCCTCATCTGAAACACTGAACTGTGCAATTAAAAAGTTAAATATCTAATAAATGAGAACATTAAGAGAAAGTAAGACATCCCCTATGGGCATCAATCGGTAGATCCCCAACAAGAACATTTCCAACAGCAGTCGGTCAAATGCAGGTAGAAGCTGCACTCATACCTGGGCCGGGGTGTCTGCTTCATTAATTGGCTGCCCATCAAACCTGAACCTAATCTGTCTCATCGACAAGCCCTGAAAAGAAAAAGCAAATATAAATAAGTATTTCCAGGCAACGCATTAATTCAAAATCATCAAATATTTACACCAGAATACCAGAATTCTGAACATGCAGATTGATAATCCAGTGGGTTATGACCTACTGGTGGGCCTACAATCCATTTCATGTGACACTGACACCAATACCTTCAGAAGCCACTGTTCTAGTGGCTTGTAGCCCGTCACCTACCATCACTCAGCCTTCTCACTTCCCTCCAGAAGCCAAGCAGGTTTTCTACACCTTCCCCCTTTAAAAAATTCTCAGAGAAACAGGTCAGGGGACAGGAGGCACGTGACAAGAAGAGTGCATAGAACTGGGAGGCAATCCCGACGGCTGTGGCCTTGAGAGGGGCAGCAGGGAAGGCATTTTCGTCCAATGAGGAGCATCTTGAGGGAATGGTGAACATGGTCAGGGTGCAGACGCTGCCTTTTTAAAAACATGCATCTCTGCTCCTCCTGAAACACTACTGAAAAGACATAGTAGAGGACGAGGGGGGCGTGCGGTGGCAGTGTCAGAGCTGAAGCCCCGCCTTTCATAGGCGAAAATAACAGGAAGCGTATTTACAAAAAAAATGAGAGAAAAGTGGAAGGAGTTGATGACGATGCCTCTGAGGAGCAGGGTTTGAGAAGCGGGAAGGCAAAAAGGAGGTGTAGCTTTTCTATGGTGTTTTTTACAACAAAAATTCCAAGGCAAGAATGACCAAAGCCAGGAACGGAAATGGACTAAGCTCTTGTATTTCCAAAGCATCCGGAAGGCCTCGTCCTGCTCAAAGGGACAGATCTCCTCAGGGAGGAGGCCAGGGCACCTGTCAACCAAAGCAGTGCACAGGCAAAGCCATGAGTGAGGATGAGTGGGTGGGACAGGCCCAGGACCAAAGGCAAGTCCAATTGAGCTTTATGGGAGCAGACCAGATGCAGGACGAGGCACAGATAAATGCGCCTGAGCTGTAAGTTCGCAACACTAACAATAATCACAGCTGAAAACGCTCAATTTAACCGGTCACTTTGGGAGCACGCAAGTGAGTCAGCTCATTACTTTGAAAACTGGGTCAATAAAGGGAAAGAATGAAGCACTTTGTGGAAACCAACTGTGATGAGGCCTGTGTCTCCACAGCGTGTTCCAGCCACCGTGTGAAGGAGCAATGGGACTGCACTCAAGCTCACTGTTCTGCAACCTCTGGGGAAGGCACCCGAATAGGCACTGATCCCAGCAGCAGAGGTGTGACCGCACTCCGCCCCCAGAGGAAGAGGCACCATTTCACCTGCCTGCTGAAGCAAGAGCTGATGGGCACAACCTGGAGGCGCAGAGGGCTGAGGAGAGGCCACCAAGGAAAGTGTGCGTGCACACAATGTAAATGCAGACACACGTGCACACACCAATGCACATGAAAGCACACGAATGCACACCTGCAGACACACCTGCACACACCAATGCACATGAAAGCACACGCCCGCACATCTGCAGACACACCTGCACACACCAATGCACACCTGCAGACACACACGCATACTTCCAGGGTAGTGTAGCCCTGAACAGCCTGGACATGGGCTGATGGCAGAGTCGCGCCCAGCCCACAGGCGCACCTGCCGCTCGCAGTAGGCCTTCATCAGCTTGCTCAGGGGTGTGTGTCTCTTGATCTTGAACTGGACCACGGAGCCATCCTGCCCGGCCACTTTCAGGTTGATGTGGTCATTCTCCGTCTTCACTCCCTCCTGCAAAAGACAGGACACTGGGCCTCAACACCGTGTCCCAAAATAACCACTATTTTAAAGGGCAAGTCTTTAGCTAATTGCTGGAGTTTTTTAAAGGGCAAATCTTTAGGTAATTGCTGGAGGTTATTAAAGTCATTAAAAGCAACCCAATTCTTAAAATTCTCCAACAATCCAGTCACTCATGTGATGGTTTTATTTTTACACAGAATTTATTTTTAACTTCTACTTGTTAAGCATCCGTGTGTAAGGAAATGCAGTGCAAATCTACAGAGTTCACAGATTGGTAATTCAAAGGAAAAATATCTGTTCAATAAGTCTAGAAAAAACTCAGAGAAAGTCCATGCTTGCCATAGATTACCCTGGGAAGCCAGAGGGAAGCTAGTGCAGCCAGGAAAAGCCCCAGGTACCTCTCTTCTCCAAAGGAGGGACACCAAGAACAATGGCCTATACCTACCCCTGGTGAATTCCTAAGAAACAATAAGTAAAAGGAAAGAAACAAAACAAAACAATTACGATTCACTGCAGTCAGTGCCCTGACTCAGCTATGCAGGGAACAGAAGCTGCTGTCCCAGCTGACGCACAGGGTTTTCCCTTCCCCAGCATGATGGTGGGGAAGCGTGCCTACTCCCCTCCTCGCCAGGACCAGAGCAGAGAGGGCTCTTTTTTACTCCCCTCCTCGCCAGGACCAGAGCAGAGAGGGCTCTTCAGCAGGCGCCAAGGGCACTGCAAACCATTTAGTCACTTTGGACACAGTTCAAACAGGTTTATTCAACTGAAGGACCATGGAAGTTGACCACGTGGGAGAGTTAAGTTTAAACCCACTGAAGAGCCCACCGGGCATGGCTCAGCGGTCGAGCGACAGCCTAGGATCCAGTTAGGGCACACACAAGAAGCAAGCAATGGCCCGGCCGGGCGTGGCTCAGCGGTTGAGCGTTGACCTAGGATCCAGGCGATCAGGGTTTAATTCCCAGTCAGGGCACATGCCCAGGTTGTGGGCCCGATCAATGACGCTCTCATCATTGATGTTTCTCTCTTCTCCCTCTCCTTTCCTCTCTCTGACATCAAGATATGTTTTTTAAAAAAGAAGCAAGCAATGAACGCATAAGTAAGTGGAACAACAAACCGATGTTTCTCTCTCTCTCTTCCTAAAATCAATAAAACTGTTTAAAAAAGAAGCCCTGGCCGGTATTGCTCAGTGGTTAGAGCGCACCAAAGGGTCGAGGGGCTCTATTCCTGGTCAAGGGCAGGTACCTCGGTTTGGGGTTCCCTGATCTGGACCTGTGTGGGAGGAAGCCAGGACGTGTCTCCCTCACATCGATGTTTCTCCTCCTCTCTCTTCCCCTCCCTCCCTTCCACTCTCTCTAAAAATCAACGAAAAAAATATCCTCCAGTGAGGGTTAACCAAAAAAAAAAAAAAAATTAAGAAAATCGCTGCCCTAGAAAAGTGCACACCAGAGAGCGCATTAGGGACCAGAGGAGACAGTGATGGAGCGCATGGGCGCACACTGGGGGACAGCAAAGAGGAGAGTGACCCACACTCGGAAGACTGTGATGGGGGGGCGCACACTCGGAGGACAGCGATGGGGAGGGGGGCGCACACTGGGG